TTTCCTAAGCGAGTATTTGGAGTGGCTCCATACAATTAAGACCGATTGTTATTGTGCCACCTTAACAAAATTGCGTAAAGCCATCCGACGCAAACGGCCTGGATTACTGAGCAAAGACATCATTCTTCTGCATAACAATGCTAGACCCCATACAGCTCGCCAGACTCAGGAATTGCTGCAAAGGTTTAAGTGGAAGGTCTGGAATCACCCCCCCCCCAATACAGCCCCGATTTGGCTCCAAGTGACTATTTCATTTTTCTGGCGTTGAAGTGATACTTATCTGGAACACAGTTCACCTCAGACCATGCAGTGAAAACAGCTGCCGAGAAATGGCTCAATGAGCAGGACTGATTACTACCAAGACAGGATAAACAAGTTGGTCGAATGTTCTGACAAATGCCTAAACAGGTTTGGCGACTATGTGGAAAAGTGAAGGCCAGATGTGTCTCTTGATTCCCATTTGTATCTTGTTTTTATTGTTAATAAATACTTTTTCATTTGCCTTGTAAACTTTTTTTTTGGTTCATCCCTCGTATATATATATATATAGCATATAAATTATATATAGCATTGTTCTAATATAGGTATTTTGAGACAAAATCAGACTTTTTTTTAAATGACGTGCAATTTTTTTTCCACATTTCGGTCATTTCCTCAGTCGACAATTTTTGCGACATCTGGTAAACCAACTGAATTCAAATACTGGCGAGCTTCGAGTATGAAATGATTTTCAAACCAGTCATTGTTTAATGCTAGTGTCAACCATGTTCTTTTGTTTGCACAATATATAACAGAGAAAATCTTTACTCCTTTAACTGTTTGAGGTCATGTATTTTTTCGGATTATGAAAAGTTTACACTTGTGTGTTCTTGCAGCATTTGTATATGCTAAAATTATTAGTCTCGCTTTGGAATCTTTTACAGTAGTTGGAGCCTTTTTTGTAGAGTCTACCAAGGTATTTTGCAGTACATATTGCCAGAAAAGACCAGTTTCATCAGCCTTTTAAATTTGTTCTGGAGATAACTTTTCAATATTAGTGAGTTTAATGAATTCTTCTGCAAATAGTTCAGCAGCTTAAGTATCAACTGATGTTTTTCACCTGAAATTTTTAATTGCCTTATAACCATGGCGATTTTTTTAAGTTGGTTAACCTGTCAAATATGTGTACTCAGATTTTAAGTTCATTTCTTCATGAAATATTTTAGCTGGAGCCATTAGCATTAGACCCGTCAATGGCATGACTATTGAATCTTTACGTTATAGTAACTTGGCGATTTTTTGGCGAAAATTTGGTGACCAACCCTGCTACAGCAACCTGCTAGTTTTGTTTTGGACGTCATTTTGTTTTCACGAAGTAAAGGCATTTTTTTTTTTACTCAACATTTTCCCCAACAATCTGCTAGCCGAATTACGCTTATACTAGAACTTTTATGGAATAAAAATGCTTAATCATGACGAAGATTAAGTGCGAAATTGGGAGAAAGTGCAGAATCGCAAACTGCTTGCTGCGTTTTTAAGAATTGCACATACACGGTATCCATGTACACATAGACCTATTTTCACTTAAAAAAAATCCCAGAATTGCACAAAAATGGGATTGCGCGCACTCTTGACTTTATCTATACATACATCGACCTATTTTTCACTTAAAAAGTCAAAGAAAACTGACAAAAATCCAATTCTTCTTACTCTTGTAAAAAGCACCAGACAAATAAGTGGGTGATTCTGCACTTTAGCAACGAAATTGTTTCTAAGTGCTTATTAGCTAAAATCACGATCGAAATTTTCCGGAAAATGTCACATTACATGTCTCATGATCTCTCATTTCTCTGAGACAAAATAATCTGATTCGAACTGTGTCCAGATTCAGATTATTGCTAAAGTCCTAGCTAGTAACCTTTATCGCCTTACCAAAATGGCGCCAAACTACCTGTTACCATATTCTAAAGATTAGCCGCACGCCCTTGTGCGGATGCTGTCTGACCTTTTGATTCAATCATTGACCTTCTGATTCAATCATCCCTTTGTCATAATCATCACTTTAGCATAATGAATAATTTTTCTGTTATTCGTTGCGAGTGAGGTGTCGGAAGCCACAGAAAATTCAGAAGGTTCCTTTTTCTGTTTTCTTATGTCATATACATTTGACTTTGTAATGCCATACACCTCACATAATTTTGAGACCGAAATACTTTTATCCATTTTTTGCAGCAATTCCAGTTGGCCATCGAAAGATGCTTTCGCTTTGTAGATCCTGTTGCTGCTCCAGAATTAGAAACTCTTTCCGACATAATCGAAAGTTCAAACTTTAATTTTCATAAAATTATTGTAATAATAACAGTGAGCAAAAAATCATAAGCTTGATCAAATCAAAAATTTAAGGAAGAGAACAGTCTGCTATGCTATCTGAAATTCCTTGGAATTCATAAAGTATAACTTTTGCCTAGTTTAATAGCATCCACTATACATTATTGGCTACATATCAAGAGAATGGAACAAAAGAGAAGTTGTTCCGCTAAATGTTGTCTTGCTTCTATCTAACACTCAGGTATTAAGCCTGAATTGTATCAGTTTAGTTATTTATTATAATTACGTCCATTTCTTGCAGATGCTTAAAGCTTATCTCAGTTCTGAATAAATAAATTTTCACGTATACTTAAGCCTTGTCAAAGGCCGTGTCTAGATATCTTGCTGCCTGATGCAGTCTCTGTGGGTCCTACATTTTGCTACCAAGCTTCTCCATAAGTTCTAAATTTTTGCTGCCCCTAAATTTTTGGGCCCCAGTGCTTTCCCTAAATTCTAAAAATTTTGTCATCCTTTAATTTTGTTGTACAGTGCTTCTCTAAATTCCAAAAATTTCAAAAAAAAAAAAAAAAAAAAAAGTATATTGATTAATGATCTGCCTGCCATATCATTGGGCCCTAGGTTCAAGTCTTTGAGAACACTGGACTGATTAACTAAAAGTTTTCTTATGAACATAACTTCACTAGATGGTGTTAAGGAAAGAAAGGTGGGAGATACTCCGATTTCCAGGGGTGTTCTATATCAAAATCAGGGTGCAGCTGTACAATTAGTGTTGTAGGAACTGTAACTTTAAAACAACTTGTGAAGTTTTGTTATCCTGCCCACTTCTTGCTGTTCTTTCATTATCAGAGTATTTGCCTTACCTGAGTGGACCTACCCTTGTCATCTAGCTTTCTTGCTACTGTTGACATCTGTTGCTGAAATCCATTCAAGGAACAGAACTGGAAAGTGGTAATACAGCAAAGGATCTAATGGCAAAGTAATCTTTTCATTTTAAGTAAACAGTTTTAAGTAAGCATACTTTCCTGTCATCAAGGTTTTGTTGTTGTAGTTAAGTAGAGTGAAACCTGATCATGAGTAATAGTTGTTTCTTCTGCAATACTCTTCTAAATTTCTAGGAGTGGTTTAAGATATTTGCCAATGAATAACAAAGGACAAATGTCCATCTTGAAGCATTTTATAATCTTCCTGCTTCCATAACTGTCTGGCTTTGCTTCTAAAAGTCTGCCAACTTATCCCTTTGAAGATTCTTGTAAATGAAACTTGAGTGTCATAAAAATTGCTTTGATTAGATTAAGCATTTATAATCAAAATTTTAAATTGCAAAAGTGTGTGAGGGATTGTGCTTGTGATGCCTTTGAATGATTTTATGACATTATTTATATTTTAGAAACTAATAAAACTAGAATGGATATAGTTATGTTGCATGTGTACTGGTTCATAATGAATTGAATGCACATAGAACCAATGATAGCTTGATAAAGTTTATTTTACCTAAAGGAACATTTTACAGTTCTTTAACTTTCCACAGAAATACTCGTACAGCTCATCAGCATTACGGACCACAATCCATAGTTACACTTCAAACTACAAAGAGCATTAAACACAACACAGTACAAAGTGCATCTAAAGAGGGAAGCTCACATGGAGATATCTTATTATTCTCTAGTCGACTCTAAACTGAGAACCTGAGAGCTAATGCTCTCTCCGGTCTTATGTAGTTTTTCCCTTGTCGCTGAGAAATCTCTATCATCTTCCATTTCTTGAAGGCATATGTGGTTAAAGTTGCGTATAAGGGCCGGATGCATTTACATATAGGAACCAATTGCAGTATCAATTAGTTTTATCAGGGACCAGACTAACATGTCATCAAATATTTGGCAGGTTTGGGGACTTCGGGCGATTTTCATCAAATTTAAGCCATTGCCAGCTTGGTGATATCTCGCAGATTTAGCGAGATAGTGATTTACCTCAATGTTAATTAGGTTTGTCCCTGTAATCTTATTTTTCCGGCAGATCTTCGAATCTTCAGCTTTTCAAGTTGCCTTATACAAAAGGTACTTAACTGTAAATTCACCAATATTATTTTATGTAGAAGAATCCGTAACAGTTATTAAGTTTGACTTTTGGTCATTCCTTGAAAAAAAAGAGACTTGATTTGTTATTTAATGTAATATAACATTTTACACGTGTAAGAATGATTTTGGATATTAGTAACTATTGCTTTAGGAAAATTCTTTCATATATTTTCGTTCCTAATTGTATTTTATTCCCTTTTTTAATGTTTTAGTGCTATTTATGTATATAATTAATATGTTACATAAAGTTTTAAATTTATGTTTTATTGGTTGGCTTTTTGCAGATTTGTAATGATTCATTTTTATAATTTTATTTAAAAAATATTAATTTTAACTTTTGTTATTGAACTGTTTTAAACGATGTATCCTAATGTTCTCAATTGTGCCTTTCTTATTTGACCATTAATTTTGATTTTTAATGCTTCTGTGCATCAACGCTTACTGCTGTAAGCAATTATGTGACATAGTTCCATATTTATTGATTGAGGCATTTTGGATTGATGTTATGTAAAAAGAGCTGATGTAGATTTAGTTTGTATTATAAAAATAAAGTTTTCATTGTTTTTATTTTATATCTTGAATAAGTGATTTTTTTTCCTTATACATTTTTGCATTTAGAAATTGTTGAAGAAGTTCAGCTAAGAAAATATGGCAAGTTTCTTGAAGAATATGGGACACAATTGAGAGCAATTGAACATGCACTAGATGATACTTTGAGTGATGTTTGGAATTCTGATTTAGATCCACTTTCATTATTAGTATGTATTATTAGTTTGGAATATAATAGATATCTCTTTCTAAAATTGAACATTTGGTTCATACACTGAAAAGACAAATTATTATACATACTGTTAAATACAGTATGTATAATACCATTCCATCTTTTGTTTGGTTAACAACAGCAGTAACAGGGAAGGGATTTGTTGAGGAAATGAAAGTTAGATGTAGTATTGACGCTCAGCAGTCCTGCAGTGTCTGCCATAAAACCATCATTAGAGCATCCTTATGAATTCAGAGAGTGAGACCATTGTAGCTCCCCTCACAGATGCTCAAGAGGATTCATTTCTGGGGACCTTGGAAGCCAGGTGAGTATTTCAGCCGCATTGCCATGTTCACTGAACCACTCCTGTGAGATATGCAAGCAATGTTTTGGAACATTATCTACTTGAAAGAGTACATTGTTCTGTGGGAACAGCCAAGCGCATAAAAGGCTATAGATGTACGAGGGTTGGAACTTTAATAGTGGCAACACAGCTGAAACAACGCTACGCAACAAAACCAAAGACTATCGTGCATACCACACGTGAACTACATACCTACCTTACCTCTCAGCAAAACGACTCATCCTGCCTACGTTACGCGCATGCGGAGTGACGCGAAGAATGAATCCTTGTATTAGCTCGCGGTCTAAAGTAAGTGTTGTCAGGATGTTTTCAAAACAAGAACAACGATGTTGGATTAAAATTGAATGTGCCAGAGGTCGTACAGCATGACAGTGTCATCAAGAGCTCCAAGAGGCTTGCGGGGAATCTGTATTGCCTTACAGAACCTTAGCAAGATGAGTGAAAGTATTCAATGAAGGACGCCAAAACGTGGCAGACATGCTGCGGCCAGGTCGTCCGAGTGTCAGCGATGCAGACAGTGATCGCCGCCAAACGATTCGTCAGCTGGCCGGACAAACAGGATTAGCGCATATGACTGTGCTGAACATCCTGAAGGAACAGCTGTCCATGAGAAAAATTGCTTCACGATGGGTTCCACATCAATTGACGGAAATACAGAAATGGCTACGATACGATGCTGCCCGACCCACCTGGAGTGCTATGAGCGCGAAGGAGATGCTTTTTTACGCCGTATCATTACGCTGGATGAGACTTGGGCTCGATCGTACCAGCCAGAACTGAAACGCCAGTCAACGAATGGCGTCATCACGGGTCACCACGACGTTCGAAATTTCGTCAGAACCCCAGCAATGTGAAAGTTATGGTGATTTTCGTGTACGACTGTGATGGTGTCATCCTAACGCATACCGTTCCCCCACAGCAGACCGTCACTGCGCAGTATTACTGCTCATTTTTGGAGCACAATCTCCGACCAGCTTTGAGAAAAAAACGGCGACACTTTCTGCAGAACGCTTCTCTCATTTTGCATGACAATGCTCGGCTGCATGCAGCGCAAGCTGTGACTGATTTGTTCAAGTGATGGGGCTGGGAAGGGCTTTACTATCCACCATACTCCCCAGATCTAAGCCCTTGTGACTATGACTTAATTCCTAAGATGAAGGAACCACTTCGTGGCAGTTGCTTCCAAACTGTTCCTGAGATTCTTGCGGCAGTAGACCGGTCCATTCAAACTATCAACAAAACAGGCGCTGCTACAGGTATTCTGCGACTTCCACATCGTTGGAAACGGGTTGTACACAATGCTGGCGACTATATTGAAGGACTGTAAAACATGGTGACATGAATCACTTTTGTATTCCTTGTAAATAAATAGTTGCCACTATTAAAGTTCCAGCCCTCGTAGCTTGAGCTCAACAGGGTTCCATTCACTGTGGTGTGACGGCACCATGAGAATTACATGAAGATGCCACAGTTAGTTACATAGCCATTACCTGCCAATACAGTGCCTGTCTGATGCAAGTGATGCAATGTTTTGTGCATTTTACACTATACACAAACTCTGCTATCCACCTATAGCAGCTTAAATGTCAAATTGCCAAACCAGATGACTTATAGCCATTCCTTCTACTAGACATGTTTCCACTCCTGAGATGGCTGCTGGCTGTTATAACTGAATTACGTCTGTTGCCAACAGACAGATCTTGTGGAGATTCTGAGTGAAGCAATTTCATTAAATCCTGTTATAGTATGATGTGAGGTTTGTGCTTCTTGCTGTTAATATGATACAGCTGAGTCTATGAGTACCTCGTGCATGGCTTGTTTGTATGCATCTATACTTTGTATGGAGCATGCTAGTTTTTCTGCTGAGGCGCTGTGATTACTCTGTGGCATGCTCAGCAGTTTGGTAGTTTCTGATATTGATGAAATGCAAGTACCAATAATTTGTCAGTGATCAAACTGGCTTAGATTGCCGTCTTTACCAATGATAACAATTTTTAGCATGCTCATTGAAGCTCGCATATTTATACTTATTGACTCTGACAAAAGCCAGGGCCTTGTCTGTTATTGGTTCTCATTATGCTTATTTACAACATCATATGGCAAATAAGTATTGTTACGTTTTTCTCCTCACGTTAAGGGGTCGTGGATTTGGAGTGAACAACAATGACACTTGATGAAGTATGAAAGCACAATATATTAGCCAGTATTATTCAAGACAGCCCCCAAAACACTTTTGTAGTCCTTAAAGAACTACTATAAACACGCTGAAACAATCAGTGACACAGCCTTCAGGCTGTCTGGCTGCAACGGTGGAGACAGCTTCACGGCAAAGCACCAGAGTACAGCTCCCGATTCTGCTCGGTTGTTTTCGGAACTCCACATACCATTGAGACTGTCCACGCTACAACTCATGATACACAAGAGTACAGCTCCCGACTGTTCACCCGTTTCCGGAGCTCAACACACTCTAAGATGCAACTCGACAATGCACTAACGTGCGATACACTAAGAGACTCTCTCGATGCACTTGACGACCAGCTCGACACTAGACTAAGAGATGGACTCCGCACTGACTCGCGATCAACTCGCTAGCTGATACACTGACTGACTCTCCACGTGCCAGCAGGGTTTAGATAGCTTTTGGCTTGTGTTCGAGAACATTCTAGGCTAAACCAGTAAGAAGTTCGTTCCAGAAGGTTCTCCATCCATCTATGGCATGTTGCCAATTTTATTGCCAAACGGACGATTTATCGCCAAATATGACAACCCTGCCTTCAATTGTCGTTTTCTTGCAACCCTAAACCTGCTTTGCGAGGAAGCTGTTTTACTGCGCCTGGACATTTTGTAACAGTATATTAATTTGTCTTTTCAGTGTTTGTATTTATATAAAGACAACTTGTATACTATAATTATACAGTTCAGAAACGTGATTATAGGCTGTATTTTCTCAAATGTTGATTCTCAACATGTACTTCCAGTGTTTTTAAAAATAAAATGCAATATTTGTTTGAAAGCAGTTTAGGAAGGTTCTGTGATAATTGTTTTAGCTTTGTATTGTGTTTCTCGTAAAGTAAAAATCCAATTAGTAATTTATTCAGCATGTTTAGGTTTTTAATAGCGAAAGATTGCAAAATTAACTTACAAGCATTTGAGATTAAAATTAGAGAGCAGCTGAAAAATAAAAAGTTTTTTTTTTTTTTTCCCAATTTTCTGTTCTCTGTTTCTTGAATTCTATGTTTATAGCCAGATTCTTTATTTTTGATGAATATTTGTATTAAATGCACCACCATGAATTTTATTGATAAAGATACAATGTTCTTTATTTAATTAAACTGCAGTGAATATTTTTCTAAAAATAACTTAAGGACATCATAAAAATATATTTTTTTCATTCCCACACCTCGCAGAATCCTCCCCTCATAGCATTAGTATTATTTTGATAAAATTAATCTTATTTAAAAGAACTAGTTGAAGTACAAATCTAGCATCAATATTAGTGAAATAAAGAGAGTGCTATATTTTTTAGGGCTCTATATCTGTGATTCCATAGTTATTTCATGTATTACTACATGCTTTTATAAGCTAATTTATATTTGAAATGTAATTTTTTTTCTCTGCCATATGTTTTATTAGTTTGCAAAGAAATGGAATTTTGTTAAATATGTTTCTTTATTCCAAATAACCTTTGAAGTCTTCTGTGCGTAGACACAAACATTTGATTTTATTTATGCTTTGCAATTGCCAGAGTATGCTGTAATGTTTACATGAAAAGTATAAATTTTACTTTCTTGGAAATATAGTAATTGCAAGTTTTCTATCTCTGTACATCATTCTTCTTAGCGTTTCTCCAATCAGCGAGCGAATTCACTTTGATTGACATCTGCAATCCGGTCAGTGTGCGGTGACGGATGACATACGGATGGAGTTCAACAATGTTCAGCTTCTATCCGTATGTCTGCGGATGCGTTGGGGTCACGTGGTAAAAAAGGAGCAATAATGTGTAGTCACCAAAAATTAATGGCGGCAGAAGAGTGATGAATGCTCGCTTAGGAAAAGAACGTTTTGCTAAAAAATACTTATTTCTGAATTAACATTATAGCGAGAAATCTGCGTGCTAAAAAAGATAGTAATCAGCTGAATTTAGTTAAAAAAAAATAAGAAAAACAAGATAACTGCAACTACAGTACTTGTTCGTTCAAGAAATTCAGTTCAAGAAAGTCAGCGGCAAAAATTATAATTCCAAGTCCATGAAATAGCAAAATTTGTCCTGACAATTATTTCCCAGTTCTGCATACTCATTTAGCTTTAATGAAAATGAATGTGTGACTATATCAAACTGCTATAGCAAATTAGATATGATTAAAAGATTTGCTTTTTTTTTTCTTTTGAAACAGTAAAAACTAAAAACGTTAATTATAAATTAAATTTGATAGCCTTTTAAATACTCCAGTTCATTGAAGAGTATGTTAAATTTGTATTTCCTTTTATAAATATATCTTTTTGGCTAATATATATTTGTAGGCACATGAACTATATTTTTAGCAGCCCGTTTAACTTCAAACGGAACGCCACTTTAAAAGATAATGTTTTTTGTAAAAAAATGTACTAGAAGCTGAAGAACAAACTCTGGTGAA